CCCAGCGTTCAACCACTGCGCTACCAGGGGAGGTCCTATTTTATTTTATTTTTTAAAGATTTGTTGATCCATATAAGAACTGGGGTACAGGCCAGAGGAGTGGGGATGAAGGGATTCACCAGAGACAGAGTAGGGGGCAGAACAGGCAGATTGACTGAAATACACTGCTGAGGGGAACAGCAGGAGAGTCAGGAGAGTTCTGCTGTCTACTGTGCCATGTGAGTAGCTCCCTGGCCAGGGGTTGAACTCTTGCTGCAGTGGCTGCTGTTAGCTTCATAGGTTGTGTCTTAACCCCTTGTACCACCAGGGAGGCCCCTCAACATACATTTCTTTCTAGAGGTTTCATTATATGCATTTTGCTGCAAAATAGTTGAAGTACACAGTGATGAGAACAAGAACCTTTTGACCTGCCTGTTTTGGTGCACCCTTCCAGACTGAGTTAAGGGACTTTAATGCTTCTGAGTACCCCACTCTTCACTGTCATAATATTTATCACATTGTGTGAGGATGCTTATGTAACTATTAACCCCCCATCTAGAAAATGACAAAGACCATATCAGTATTATTCATAGTTTATTTAGTTTGTATTTATAGTTTATATAGTTTCTCCTACCTGCCTGTTGAATATTTGATTAGATGAGTGGATGGATGGATGGATGGATGGATGGGTGGGTAGGGTGGGTGAGTAGATGGATGGGTAGATAGACAAATGACTGGATGGATGGATGATGTTTTAGGCTATGGACTCTTTGCACAGAAAGGCAGTTTGGCAGTTATTAAGAATGTGTGCTGTACTATGAGAGTTTAGGTAAGCTTTAAAATATCCCACTTCAAATTTCCTCATTTATAAAATGGGTATAGAAATATTAAATCAATTAAAAATAATAAAAGGTTAAAAGAAGAAATAATGCTCCCATTATAGTGTTGGTAAATGAACATATAGAGATTAGTTAGGAAAGTTCTTGAAAGTTAGGGACATTGTTGATCAAAAAAAAAAAATCTGCGATTATTACTAATCTAGAATGGCAGTTTCCTGGTTGACAGTTTGCTATTCAAATAGTTCATCCTGACATTTCAAATTTATGATAAGATCAAATGTTTTCTATTAGAAGTTTCAAGTAAAGAGCATTTTGAGTTCAAGATTTCTAAGCAGATTAAAAAGATAAACTGGGAATAAATATAAATAGGACATTGAAGAAGAAATAAAATAACAGAGAAGGAAGGGAAAAAGTTCAAGAAAGCATTCCAAAGCAACATTTCTGCCTTTGTACCCACATTCCTCCACAAATAGCCAAATTACCGGTTCATCTGTATTTTGGAGTACACTTACTGTGCCTCAGAATGCCATGCCTAATAAGCATCAATGATGCAGAAGAAGAAAGAAAAGTGAAGGAAATATTATAGAGTCTTATTTAAACCTGTTATATTTTTGTTTCCTTTTTTTAAGAACCCCTTTTTTGAATAAGAACTTCATATACAGTTATCTATCACTTTCTCTTCTAAAGGAAGTAAAATGTTTGATCTTTGACCAACCTGTGCAAACCAAGTGATTTTAATGCTTCCTGTTCTTCTATCAGAAAGAATTCTCTTGGCCTCTTCCCCAACCATGGGGGATTCTGTTTATTATTATTGTTATTATTATTATTAATCTTCTAAGCATAATGAACTGCCTCTCCTTTACTACCTCATTCATAGAAGAGTAATTTGCATCTTCCAAAATTAGCTTAAAGTCACTTTATTGATAGAAAAAATTAGACATAGAAAGAATATGTAACTGATCCAATACTCAGCTACAGCTTTATTTATTCCTCGAGGCTACAAATTCTTTATCTACTCCACAAGGGATAAATGGTTCTTAAATTTTTAATAGGATGTTTTACTGCCTAAAATTTTAAGTAAAGAAAAAAAATCAATCAGTTTGGCTTGATTCTGGTTTTGGTAGGCAGAAAAATCAAGGTATAATTTAAACTTGTTCCATAGATTTCTTCCACTTGGGAGGAAACCAACACCTATGCTACATGATATGCTACCCCAATGACCTTTGGGGTGAATTCTTACTCTAAGACTAATGGAAGTCATCATTTTGCCCACTTACATCATACATTGCTGAAGGATTCTACAGTCATCTGAAAGTAATTTCTTAGAAAAGGTAATAAAATGCATGTGAAAAATAAGAGGAATAAATATTAATTGTGATAAAAGTTACCTTTTTTTAAAAAAAGATTTATTTATTTATTTATTTATTTATTTATTTATTTATACAAACACTGGGTACAGTCAGAAGTGCAGGAGAGTGAGAGAATTCACCAGAGCCAGAGCGGGGAGCAGAGCAGGCAGAGGGACCGAAGTACACTGCTGAGGGGAGCAGCGGGCGGCAGGAGAGGTCTGCGCGCCATGTGGGACCCTCACCGGCGGCTGGGGATCGAACTCACCGGCGGCTGGGGATCAAACCGGCACTGCAGAGGCTGCAGGCAGCTTCACAGCCCAGCGCTCAACTGCTGCACCACCAGGGAAGGCCCAAAAGTTACCTATTTTGAACCCTTACTAAGACTAGGCATCACCCAGCATCCTTTATCATTATTGTATTGAGTATTCTTAACAACATTGCAGAAGTAATTAAGCTAATGTTCACAAAAGTTAAAACACATTTTGAGTATTACACAATGGCAAGTTCTAGTTTGTCAATTTAAAAATCCACATTCTTCTAGTGTGGTTAAAAAAATTAATACACAAACCATTTTCCAGTGGGATATTGAATTTTACTGTAGAAATATGATCTTAGGTCTGATGAAATATTAGTAATCTCTTCAAACCTTCCTACCAATTGTTAACAACCCTCAAAAGTCTCTGCTTGAATGGTATTCCTATTGGAATCCTCATTATTTCAACTAGGCAATCTCCTTCCCTTTATGGAAATCTTACTGCTTAAACTTTTTCTTGAGATTCACCATGGAAAACAGTAAAATAATTCCAAACCTTCCTCTCTTTGACAGCCTGTAGCAACATACTAAATCTTTTAAATCTGACATGTTCTTTCCCCCAAATCTTTTATCAACTTTTTCCATTGGAAGCCTTCCAGACTTTTTCTATCTAGATTCTTACAGATAGGCTCAACTTGCTGCATCTGTTATTTTATAAATAGATGATGATTGTTTTTAACAAATAGAAGAGGGATGGTAATCAAAGTCAAGAGCTATAGCCTCCTTTCTCACCTGTGGCACAGTTTTTCTGTAAATGTGTAAGAATATCAGTGCTATGATCTGATATGTCATCTCAGAATCCATATGTCAAATCCTAACCCTAAGGTGATGATATTACGAGGGTCTTTGGAAGTTTCTTAGGGTATGAAGATGGATGCTTCATGAATGAGATTATAAAAGTGGCTCCATTGTTAGCTTACTTATATATTTTCCTATATATTTCAGGAAGATATATCAATAAGATTAATAAACTTAAAGTATTTTAATGGGGAAAAAGAGAATCCAACCACCATGTTAAGACACAGTGAGAGGTGCTGCCTATGAACCAGAAAGAGGAACTTCACCAGAATGCAACCATGCCTAGCATCTTACTCTTGAACTTCCCATTCTCCAAAACTGTGAGAAATAAGTTTCTGTTTTTTATAAACTACCCAGTTTTTGTGGTATTTTATTATAACAGTCCAGCTGGACTAAGACAATTGGATCACTTAATTTTTTGTTTGCCACTTATATCACTACACTGTTGACTCATAGTAAATTTGAAGTCAAATAAAATCCCTTATTCTTTTTTTTTTTTTAAACTGCAGAAGCCACATGTTACCCTTACTCTTGGGCAATTAACATTTGAATTGAAGAACATTATTTTTATTTCCCCTAAAGTTTTACCCTCAGTCATTCTCAGACTCTGTAATCTACTGTCTTTTATAACTCCACCCGATAACTTGGGTTCATCTGCAGTTTTGATCCTCCACACTTTCTATGAGTTAATTCAGATGGATATCTATGCTATAATGATCAGGACAACATGCAGAAACCTGGAGTTCACCAGTAAATACCTACTCTTGGGGTCTCCCTGGTGGTGCAAGGGGTTAAGATGCAGCACTATGAAGCTATCCGCAGCTACTACGGCACGAGTTCTATCCCGGCCAGGGAGGTGACACACATGGTGCAGCAGATCTCTCCTGCCTTGCCCGCTGCTCCCCTCAGCAGTGTATTTCAGTACATCTGCCTGTTCTGCTCCCTACTGTTCTGGAGAATCCTCTTACTCACGATATCTCTGGCCTGCACCCCAGCTTTTGTATACATAAATAAAAAAATCTTAAAATAAATAAATAAATACCTATTCTTCATCTTTATGATGCTTCATCAATTGCAAACACTTTCACAAACCTTGTTTCATTTTATTCTTACAGCTATGCTGTGAATAAGTTAATGTCATCATTATTCTATATATAATGATGAATATTCTGAAAGATTCTCTGTTTTGCCTGATGTGACACAGCTAATAAATCACAAAATAGGAAATAACCTTTGGGCTTTTGCCTCTGTGTCCAGTGCTTTTTCAAAGAGAGATTAACATATTTTTCTTCCCCCTACCATAAATGTTAAGAGATTATTTAAAATCAAGAAACATTCTCTACAAACAAATGTTATCTAGAAACACAATATATAAAGCAGATATAAGGGCAGGCCAGTCTGATAGAAGTGGAAGATAGTTAACCTCTGTCTCTTTGTCCCACTCAGGCCACTCCTCAACCCTGTGGCAGATAGTAATGTGATACACTATAGTCCTCAGTATTCTTTGGAAATACAATTGTCAGTGGCATGTCCTTCAACTGTAACCTCCCCTAACAATAATTTTTAAGTCAAGCTAATATTTCATGCCTTGTTTCTACAATGTCCTCTAGAATTTTGTGGGAGATTGTCCATTTGAGAGGTTTAATAATCTTTTATATAGAACAGAATTGCTCTATACTTTGAAGCCATCTTTTTTATGTAATTGAAATCTTCATTTCACAGATGAAGTAAAAGCAACCTGGAGAGGACAAGTAGCCCACACAGGAACAGAGACAAGAACCCAGGTAGGTAATTTTTCTGAATACATCATGCTATCTTGCTTTTAGAAATCTGACACTTTTGATTATGACATCTGTAACATAATGAAGCTTCTAGTTCTTTCTTGAGCAACTAACAGACATTTATTAGTTACTTGATATTTCAATGATATTTAAGACAAATAAAAAAGAGTAAAATGTTGCAATTAGCTTTAGTAATGAGAAACAGTGGTTCTTAGGTAGTAGACATTACAGGCTCTTTTAAAGTGTATGCAGGAAAATATTTATGTACATTTACAAACATTTCAAGGGGTTCAGAGACCCTTCACATACCAAGTTGTTGGCCTCCAAGTTAAGAATGTCTAGCTAATCTCAGTGTCAATACCAGGCCTGCATAGTACCAGTTACTATCTTATTTATGGGTCTGCTGGTTAAAAGCTGCTTCTGTTAAGGCATCCTTCATCTTTTTTTTTAAACAGAGCAGTATCTTATCCTGGAAGACCTTTGATACAGGAGACGAATGAATGTTTTAATAAGTATTTAATGAACCAGATGGTATAAATTAAGAGACAAATATAATAAAATAATAAAAAAATTTCCTTCAAAAATGCCAACAATGAAAGTGAGAATGATCAGTGTTCATAAAATAACATTTTTTCTGTTTTTTTTTAATTTTTAAGAAAGAAAATTAGAATGCTACTAGTAGCTGCCTGTCCACTTTTATTAAATCTGTAGTAAGTGGAAAAAGGAAAGGGAATATAGAGAAAAGAAATAGATATTTCTTCTGAATGATTGTTTCTTTTTTTAAGATTTATTTATTTATGCATACAAGAACTGGAGTACAGGCCAGAGGTGCGGGAGGTGAGAGGATTCATCACAGACAGAGTAGGGAACAAAACAGGCAGATAGACTGAACTACACTGCTGAGGGGAGCAGCAGGCAAGACAGGAGAGGTCTGCTGGGCCATGTGGGTAGCTCCCTGGCCGGGGATCAAACTTGTGCTGTAGAGGCTGCAGACAGCTTCACAGCGCTTTTCTAAACCACTTGCACCACCAGGGAGGGCCCCTGAATGATTATTTCTTAATCCTGCCCTTTTACTACAGTATTTTAAGAGATTTATGATTCTGAGGCAGTTGGCAACCATTTAATAATTTTAAAATAGTTTAGGAAATCCAATATTACTTTAAAGTCATTAGTATAAGTGTTGATTTTACTAATTCGAAGTATACTTGTTATAGAGCACTATTAATTGGGGCAGTATGGTGTGACAGAAGACTTTGGAGTAGAGAGTGTTAAGGTTGAATTCTCATGTTGTTTTCTTGTTGGATTCTGACAATAAATGAGGTAAACAAACTTAATGAGCCTCAGTTGCTTCATCTTTGAAATGAGGTTATATTTTTTTGATCTCCTTTATGACAGCCACACTAGAACTAAATAAACATTCTGAATAATAATCTCTGTAAAATAGGCTTCTAATTTAATGAGGTTCACATGTTCTGCTTTAAGAACAAGATTTATCTCTGGTATATATGTACCACTTTTGGGCCTTTGGGTTGTTTCCAAAGCTTAGCTATTGTAAACAGTGCTGCTATAAACATAGGGGGTGCAGGTGCTCTTTGGAATTGATGTTTCTGTGTCCTTTGGGTAAATACCTAGGAGTGGAATTGCTGGATCATATGGAAGCTCTATGTTTAGTAGGTCCAGAAATCTCCACACAGCTCTCCATAGTGGTTGGACCAGTTTGCACTCCCACCAACAGTGCAGAAGAGTTCCTTTTTCTCCACACCCTCGCCAACATTTGTTGTTGCAGTTTTTTTAATATGTGCCATTCTCACTGGTGTGAGATGGTATCTCATGGTAGTTTTGATTTGCATTTCCCTGATTACAAGTGATGTTGAACATTTTTTCATATGTCTGTTGGCCATTTGCATTTCCTCTTCAGAGAAGTTTCTTTTTAGCTCTTCTGCCCATTTTTTGACTGGATTATTTTCTTTGTTGTTGCTGAGTCTCATCAGCTCTTTGCAGATTTTTGTGATCAGTCCTTTATCACTAGTGTTGGGTGCAAAAATGTTCTCCCAGTTGGTGGGGTTTCTCTTTGTTTTTGTTATTGTCTCTTTTGCTGTGCAGAAGCTCTTTAATTTGATGTAGTCCCAGCTGTTTATCTTTGTCTTCACTATCACTGCTTTATATACCATGGAATATTACTCAGCATTCAAAAAAGATAAACACATGCAATTTGCAGCAACATGGATGGCGCTGGAAGGGATCATGCTCAGCAAAATAAGCCAAAAAGAAAAAGAAAAATACCGGATGGTCTCACTCATAGCAGGAATCTAGAAAACTTAAAGAAGGGACCAGGAAAATGAATATAAGAAAGTAAAAATCAAAATCAACAAAAAACTATGAACCAGAGACCCTTTTTGGGGGGTGGGGGGTGGGGGGCGGGAGGGGAAGGATTGGGGTCAGAATGGGGCGTTTGCAATTGTATGGGGGAATATAAAAATAAAATTTAAGATTAAAAAAAATAAATAAATAAATAAAAAGGATGCTGAGAAATCAAAAAAAAAAAAAGAACAAGATTTATCTCAAGTCTCTTTTATTCTTTGCCTGATATTCATATTTTCATCAGTGGTATTAGTGGAATATTAATTTAGCATGTAGTAATAATAACAACACTCATTTAACCCTTCTTACATGTTATTCTAAAGTCCCTCAATGGTAGTGGCTTAAAACTAAAGGAATTTACTCTCTGATGGTTCTACAGGCTAGACGTCTGAAATCAGGGTAGCAGTAGGGCTGTTCTTCATCCAAAGCCTCTAAAGGAAAATTCTCCTTACGTCATCCAGTTTCTGGTAACTTCTCAAGTTTTCCTTGGCTTTTGGCTATCTCTGCTTCTATCTTCATTCACATGGTCTTCTCTGTGTCTCCCTTCTGAGGACACCTGTCATTTTATTTAATACTAACCTTGGTAATCAGGAGGATCTCTTATAAATATTAGTAACTCAGTTACACCTCTAAACACCCTATCCAATATTAGATCATATTCACAGGCTCCAAGATGTGTCTCTTTGTGGGGAACCACCTTTTAACCTACTATGTAAAAATATTTTTGCATCTTGGGAGAGTTCTTCTGATAATTTTGGCAAAAAATTTCACAAATAGGGCCTCCCTGGTGACTCAAGGGGTTAAGAGGCAACCTATTAAGCAGTCCACAGCCTCTGCAGCCATAAGTTCGGTCCCCGGTCAGGGAGTAACCCACATGGCACAGCAGACATCTCCTGACTCACCTGCTGCACCCTCAGCAGTGTGCTGCAGTCAATCTGGTGTTCTGTTCCCCACTCTGTTTTCGGTGAATCCTCTCACCCCTCACACCTCTGGCATATACCTCAGCTCTTGCATAAATAAATAAATCTTTAAAAAAATTCACAAATATTTAAAAGGAGAAAAGAATATTTCATCTCACCCAATTTAACCATATAACTATATGGTTGAGTTGGCTATAAAAAATATTGATAGAAAATATTCTTCTTACTATGAGCAGTTATATTAGCCTTCTTTGCATTTACTTGGAGAGTCAACAAAGTTCTTGAGAAGCAAACAATTGCTACCCATTTAAAAGAAACACTTGGAGCTTAGTTTTTAACCACTTTTGACTAGAAATCATTCACTTGGAGCAGGTCAAAGAGGATGAGAAATCCACCTGGCTAAATTGTCAGTGAGACATTTTTCTTTTAGTATATCATTTATTCTTCTAAGTGCAAGATTACAAAATTTAATTAGCATAGTTTAATTACCTAAAAACAACAACATGTTTTGACATAACTCTGTAAACTCTTGCCTTTTCTTTTTACCTCCTCCCCTGTCTTTCTTTCCATTCTCCGCCCCACAAACTAGCTGATCTGGAATGCTAACCACCTTGCTTAGGGAAATGTCCCTTTAATTAGGAGGTTTATATTCATCACACCTCAACAATGCCATGTCTGTTTCCATCAACCTTGGAGTCAGCCTAGCTCTCCACTCATTTTCCTAAATGAGTAATAACTGTTATACAGAAGTAAATTAGTTGAGGATAGTGTTGTCACAAAACCACACACTTATGAAAGTTGCTGGTCACGAAAAAACACTGAAACTCTTTACCGGAAATTTTCCAGACCGTGTAATAAGAAATGAAGAATAAGCTGGAAGAATGAGAAAAAGGAGGAAGACAGAAAAATAAGCAATCCAAAAGTTTTGAGAGGAAATCTATTCAATATTTCCCCCAAAATGCAAAGACAATGGAAAATTAGTCTCAAAAAATACTGTTGGAAGATCCTTGGTTGACCAATTGCCTCTACAACCAAATTTCCTTTGGCAGAATTCTGGGAACAAGTGTTCATCAAGGATGTTTTTGACAAATCAGTTGGCAGTAACTAACTTTTCTTGCCTTTGAATTGTTCCTTGGAGAAAGGTCTTCAGTTTCTAAAGACACATGGGTGAGATAATTTCTCGTGGTAAGGCTTTATTATCTAAGAAAGTAAGTCCTTGAAAACAAACATTAAGCTAGTAGTTCCTTTACCAAGTTGTAAGTTAGGTGACCCAGATCTCGGGAAGAAAAAGAGAAAGGCAGACCTGTTATTATGTGCTAGGAAAGGGATTTATAATGACAATTACAAAGTACTTTCAAACAATTTAGCCACTTTTCCACTCTTACTCCCTTTTAAGTGCTCTGGGTATTAGGATCTTATGAAACCCTTATTTCATATCCTTGTGAAAAACAAGCAAGTATATCGTAGCTTACAATTCCCACAAATACTGTGAGAAATCAAACTAATGTAATTTCACTGATTCCAAGAATAAACCTAAATACATCACTCCTCCTCTCAGAAGGATCTTTGTAGTTGGCAGTTCCCTATTTTCTTTTTATATCATGAAAGTGTGTTTTTAATTTCAATCCTTAATATTTTTTATATTTTTTCATTGACATTTAAACTGTTTTAATTGTGGTAAAATACATATAAAATTTATCATTCTAACCATTTTAAAAGTAT